GTTGTCCTCATGAATCTGATTGTTTTTCTGTAGTAATGATTCAAAGATGATCCATGAGAATTTATATTATTTTACCGTATTTTCTGGACTATAGGGGCACTCTTAAAATCCTTACATTTTCTCAACAGTTGACCGTGCTCCTTATAATCCAGCGCGCCCTATCTATGAATTTACTTGTTGTGCTTACTGACTGATTTTATTTGGTACAGTGCGTTAAAAAATCTGTGGAAATGTGTAAGTATGACTTTGGTAGGTAACAAACCCGTGTGCTGCTCACACTCACTGGTTTATTCTCAACGATCATGGTCAGACTCCGCCCTCCCCAAACTTTGGCACAGAGTGGATGAAACCGTCTGAACGGACCTGAAATGATCCGAATCTCTCTGTTCTAAAAATGTCAGCTGATCCCTCCGGTCAAAAGACGACAGTTTAAAGAAATAAACGGAGAACATGAAGCGAAAATAAAAAAGTCGTGTTTCTACGTAAAGAAACAAAAACGGTTTGAGTTTCTCAGGTTTGAACGCCGCAGTCCGCCCAGAGGGACGCAGGATAGAGATCAATTCACACATTTATTAACAGAGAGTCGAAGGTACGAGAGAGGGAGAGAGAGAGAGAGAGAGAGAGAGAGAGAGAGGGGGACTGAGCCCAGAAGGTAACACACACACACACACACACACACACACACACACACACACACACACACACACACACACACTCACACACTCGCTCGCTCTCTCACGTGAACAGAACTTTCTGTCAAATCTGAAAAGATCCTCAACAGACGAAGAAGACGAGGCTGATGAGAGGAAGGACAAGACCCAGCGGAGGGGGGAGGATGGAACAGCTGAAACGGGGGGGGGGGGACAAAGACAGGATGATGGATGAGATTTGAGTGAAGGAGGAAAAGAACAGGTAGAGAGAAAAGAGAGGAGATGACAAAACTTCACTTCCTATCAGTCAGAGAGAGTGACGGGGGAGGGGGGGGGCAGGGTTTGGCGTTTTTGGCGGCGGCAGGAGTACGACGGTTTTAACAGGAAGTTACATCAGAACAGCGCTGACCTTCATCAGCACATGGATGTTGGATCTGACCTGAACACACCTCATCTAAACTCACTCTGACCTCCGCCGCCTTCTGAGCATGCTCCTGAGCGCTGAGTGCGTTATGGTCGTAAACCAAACCTCAGCAGAAACAGAGGAAACTGCAGCACGCACACACACACACACACACACACACACACACACACACACACACACACACACACAGGTCTGTATCTGTAAAGCTGGAGGTGATTTCTTTGTTCATCTCTCCGTCGGCCGTTTGTCGTCTGTTTTAGATCCTGACCAGCAGGAAAACAGGCGGGAAGAGGGCGGGGACTGGAGTCCAGTTAAACCACTGAGATCTCACTGCAGCTCAGATTAACCGTGCATGTCAGCGATTTAACGCGCTCAACCATGGCGTACTACAAACAAACACACCGAGACGTCTCAGAGTCTGCTCTGGACGACAGCAGGACAGGTGTGCTCAAACAGGAAGTGACATCAAAGGAAGTTTGATGATGCTTCATTCAGACGCTCACCTGTGTAACCCCCCAGTATAATACTGTAAATACTCTAATACTTCACTTAGTATAGTGTACATAAGGGTTTATACAGTATAATACTGTCTGTACTGACAGTATATTGCACTCAGTATAGAGTAGTATTAGAGTATATACAGTATAGTACAGTAAATACACCCAGTATAGTATAGTATTAGAGTATTTACAGTATAATACTGTATAAACTTTAACACTACACTCAGTATAGAGTAGTATTATAGTATATACAGCATAATAGTGTATATACTCAAATACTTCTCTCAGGATAGTGTAGTATTAGAGTACCTACAGTATAATAATGTAGTATGAGAACATATACGGTGTAATACTGTAGTATTAGAGTATATACAGTATAATACTGTGACTGCACTGACAGTATATTACACTCAGTATAGTGCAATATTAGAGTATATACAGTATTATAGTGTAGTATTAAAGTATATACAGTATAATAGTGCAGTATTAGAGTATTTACAGTATTATAGTATGTGTGTACTGACAGTAAACAGGACAGCTCTCTGTGTGTTTTTGATGTTTTCGTCTCTATCAGACTTTAAGTCGTCCACACACACACACACACACACACACACACACACACACACACACACTAAAACTGTTGGATGACTCATACCTCCGTATTCTGGAGAACATCCACCTCAGTGGGCGGAGTCTCTGCGAACAATGAGGGTCTGAGGATTACAGAACCAGAACTCGGACCCTGACCCGGCAGACTCCTGGTCCTCCTTCAAAACTTCAGGTGGACTTTCTTTGTTTCAGAGACGTCTGTTTGTGACGGAGGAGGATCAGGAGTCAGAGGATCATCAGAGTTAAGAGACGACCACAAACGTGTGTGTGTGTGTGTGTGTTAGTGTGTGTCTCTCTCCTCCACTTTGTGTCACTGATTTATATTCAGACAGACAGTTTGATTCTCTCTCTCCTTCCTCTCTTCTCTCCATCGTCTCTCATTAGTCTCCCCTTCTTCAGAAAGTCTCCCCCTTTTTTCTGATGCTGTCACTCACTCACCCCCCCCCCCCGCCCCCCCCACCAGCAGAAACAGATTTTTCACTAAGTTCCCTCTCTTTCTTTCTCTTTCTTTCCTTTCTTCGCTTTTCCTTCTTTCTTTCCTTCTTTCTTTCCTTGGTTCTTTCCTTCCTTCCTTGCTTTTCCCTTTCTTCTTTTTTCTTTCTTTCCCTCCTTCTTTTCTTCTTTCCTTCCTTCCTCCCTCACTTCCTTCATTTCTCCTCTACTTTTTTCCTTCCTTTTTTTCTTCCTTCCTTCTTTCCTTCCTTCCTTTTCTTCTTTCCTTCATTCCTTCCATCCTTCTTTCCTTCCTTCCTTCTTTCTTTTCTTCTTTCCTTCCTTCTTCCCTCCTTCCTTACTTCTTTCTTTCCTTCCTTCCTTCTTCTCTTCTTTCTTTCCTTCCTTCTTCCCTCCTTCTTTTCTTCTTTCCTTCCTTCTTTCTTTTCTTCTTTCCTTCCTTCTTCCCTCATTCTTTTCTTCTTTCCTTCCTTCTTCCCTCCTTCCTTACTTCTTTTTTCCTTCCTTCCCTCCTCCACTCGTCCACTAAGGACAGAAGTGAAGTTGTCCCCCAAAAGGACGGGTCAGCCCAGCTGTGACCTTTGACCCCCTCCTCATTTTTAAACCGTCTTTGTTTTTAAACTCAGACTCACGGATGTGATCGATCGGCTCTCAATGAGATCAATACAATCTCAGTGTGTCCTGTCAGAGTTAGTTCATGTTTTCACCAACATGTAGTCGTCCACAGACTCTGATATGAACACATGAAACCAGAATCAACCTGATCTGGTTTAAAGTCTGGATCAGCTGAAGGTTTGAGAAAAAGGAGGTAAAATATTTAGATTCTGCAGAGAATGAGGAGAACTGAGTCTGTGAAAACACAAGGTCTCTCTCTCTCTCTCTCTCTCTCTCCCTCCCTCCCTCTCCCTCCCTCCCTCTCTCTCTCCTCTACACTCCCTACCTTCCTCTGGACCCGACCCTCACGATCACAGAGGAGGATCAGGACCTGACTACTCCCCGCGGCGGCGGCCCCGCTCAGGTACTCAGTATGTTTTTAGGGCGGAGCAGCGTCTAACCTCTCACTCCCTCACAGAGCTGAAAAATGAGAGTCTGTGTTTCATCCGCTCATTACACCAACCCAGGGAGCTGAGCCAATCAGAGTCCTCTGATGGAGGTGTGCGCTCCGGTTTAATTCCTCTGGATCTTAGTTTGGAGTTTGAGACGGTGCAGACGTGATGTTTTAATTAACGAGGATCTGAGGTCGACATACACGGGTGAGAGCGGAGCCACAGTTAGAGAAATACTCTCCACGTCTCAGTCCACAAGCTCTAAGAGTCTTTTGACAAAAGTCCAACAGTAGGGGGCGATGTTCCCCCTGTCAGTTTGTTTCTATTGGACCATCAGCTGTTTGACCTCATGGACCAAAACAATCAACAAACGTGAGAGAAAGGCTAACAGCTTTAAGGTGGAATAATGGAAACAACAGATCGAATGTTTGACCTTCTTTATTCTGTCTGTTATTATGACGATGACGGTGACTATGATGACGACGATGATGACGATGATGACGATATTTATTATTATTACTGTTGCTGTTGTTGTTATCAGTATTATCATTATTGTTATAAACATTATTATTTAAATTAACATTATTTTCATGATTATTATTTATATTGTTATTTTCATAATTATTATCGTCAATATTATTATTATTATTATTATTATTATTATTATTGTTATTAATAATAATAATAATAATGTTATACATATTATTAATTTGATTAATACTATCATTATCATCATCATTATTATCATTTTCATCAATATTGTTATATTTAAAAACAGTACTATTTTTAATTTAAGTATCATTATTTTTTCATCATTATCATTATTATTGATATTATTATTTATATTAATATTACCATCGTCATCATGCTTATGAATAATATAATTAGTAACATTATTAATTTAATTAAAATTATTCTCATCATCGTCATCATCATCATAATTATTATTTTCATCATTATTATTATTATTTTAATTATTATTTTATTATTTTTTTTCATGTTCATTATTATTTTCATTAATCTTATAAATATTATTATTATTATTATTATTAATTTTATTATTATTATTACAATTTTTATCAGCATTATTTTTTTCATTATTATTATCATCATTATATTATCATTATTATTATTATTATTATCACTAGTATTATTATTATTATTATTATTATTATTATTATTATTATTATTATTATTATTATTATTATTGTACTTGTCATTAATATTATTATTGTTATGATGATTTTTTAATTGTTATTTTTATTATTTTTATAATTGTATTATTTATTATTTATTTTTTGTTATTAAATGTCGATCTGGTTTCTTGTTTTTATTTCTGACTTTTGACAACTTTTTTTCTCCTAACAGTTTAAACATCGTCTTTGCTCCCTCTGTTTCTGTAAACTTTTTATTCTATCACTATAAGATGGTACAAAAAACATCCTCGTAATGCTGAGAATAAAACAGAGGATCAGAGCGTGACCTGCTGCAGTAAATGTTCTTTAAAGAGACGGGGATGGGGGGGCTGAGTTCTGGTTAAAACAGCTGATCAAACAGATCACATCCTCTGCTCTTTAAAGGTCATTTGATCCCTGATTGATCCGGGGTCAAAGACCACCATCAGATACAGGAACAGGAGGTTAGGACCGAGCCGCTCACTCTCTACGATCCACTATAAAAGTCAAATACAGCAGGAAGTCCTCTGAAGATCAGACCTTTACCTGGTCACTGACAGTCCAGGTGAGTCCACCATGTGACCCTGTTCACCAAGAACCACCTGACCCTGTTTATATGTTTCCTGTTCACCTCACTAGATCAACTTCCTCTCCGTTTACGACGGTGAAAACACACTTGAGTGTACGCTGGTGACGCAGGCAACGCCATATGGTGTGTGTGTAATGTGTGTGTGCGTCTGTGTGTGTGTAATGTGTGTGTGTGTGAGTGCAGCTTCTATAATTAGTGCCCTGCAGAGGCCCATGTTATGAACCGCGCCGACACGCTGTAGGGTTAGGCGATGTGGTTCTCTAGAGAACGACACCTGATATTCAGGGACAAGGTCAAACGATCACAGAGAGGTCAGAGGTCAGCGCACACAGATTTCCTTTCTCTGGTAATAAAGAGCGATGGTTCTGATCCGCAGAACGAAGAGGGGGTCGGACTTCTTTATGTAACTCTTCCCTGTTTTATTGTCCAGAGATCATCAGAGTTTCTGTTTCCACGTTTTCCTCTTCGGTTTTTTCTCCGTTTCTCTAGTTTTTTTATGTATCTGTTCTTCTCTTCAGAGGAACGCTCACTTTCTTCTTCGTTGATTATTATTTACAATTATTTCACACATTTCCTGGTCACGTTGTAAGACACCCCTTCCCCCCACAGTGGTGCAGTGAGCTCTGGCGTTACCTGAGATGACCTTCTGATCGATCAGGAAACCGTCTCTATAACACCTCCTGCAGAGCGCGGACTTCCTCAAACAACAGACTCCAGTTTTCTCATGTTCGATTCTTTGATTATCGGACCTTCTCGTGTTTTATGCAGATAATAAATTAACCACATCAGAGACGCTGTGCAGACCGGGCCTCACTCTGCTCTCCAGGTTCACCTGTCGGCTTATCAAACTCCGACCAAAACCAGGAGGTCCACACTCAGAAAGAACCCCCACACTGGATCTCAGCAAATATTCATGGTTATAAACTTCACACAGATTCCTGCAGGACTGTTGGACTGCACTATAGTATCAGAGACCTCAGTGTTTATCTACGTATATATATACAGTACGTTATTGCAAACTCAGAAAAAAGACCCCGGTGAAATGAAAAATTCCTCCTCTGCTGTTTCCGGACCCTCAGAGACGGACCGCCACGCTCCCATAAACCAACAGGACTCATTATGTTGTCGGCAGCACATACGGCACATATTTCAGCGTCTCTGTCGATGTTTACAGTAATCTACTGTAGGCTCATTTACTGGAGAGCTGCTCTTATTTCCCTCAACACACAAATCTCCTCCACAGTTTGGATGTTTGCCTCGTTCACTGATGGAAAAGGAAACAAAGAGACTTTTCTACAGGGAGAGAAAACAGATAGAGAGGAACCTGCAGCTGTCGTCATCTCAGAGTCTTTATCCTGTGAGAACAGGTGTGAGTGAAAACATGACACCTGCTCAGTTTGATGGATGTGACCCAGACATGGTCAGTGTAAATAAACAGACAAAACACTGTGACCTCAACATTAACTATCAGCTGATCAATCAGACTGATTAATCAGTCACAACAGTATCTCTGTCTAATGAGGGTCCTGTAAACCCAGAACCCCTGACCATGAACCGGGGGTCTACTCTGCATCAACCCGGGTTTCTACACTCTCAGTACGTTTACATAAACGTCTTAATCAAGACTAAGCTCATAATTCGTTTTTTTCTCTGAATCGAATTATTGACGTGAACGTGTCCTCCTCCCCAACACTAGGGGGCGATATGGGTCTTTTCAGCGGCGCTGTTTCCGACCCCATCCAACCGTCAACAACAACAGCAGGTCGGTGTCAGACGTCAGAAGTGTCTACAACTGCTGCTGGGCATTTTGGAGAAACAAGAAGATGGAGCATCGTACAGCGTTGTTTTTGTCCGACATGATGGACGCGCTACTTTTTCTAAAGATGAGACCAACGCTACTCCACTTCTCCGGGGGCGTGGCGCACTCGCACATGCATTGTCCGATCATGCTCCGACTGCGGTGGTTACACGGTAGAGAAAATCGAATTCCAATCGTATTATCTGAGTGTCTTAATCGGAGTTCTCAAACTCTGATTTTAGTCGGACTAAGGTGTTTACATGAGCTTTAGTTGTCCGGTCTTAATCGGAATAAGGCGATAATTCGGTTTTCTGGAGTGTCATGGAAACGGACTGTATGATTTCCAATTTTACGTTGAAAGGGCAACTAGACTTAGGTGAAAAACCATGTCGCCCAGCCCTACCCCTAATTATGTGTCACTTTAAGTCTGAGTCTGACTGAAGTTGCACAAAAACTTTAAGTATTTGAGTTTATGTCGTAAAGTGTGTAGACGTGGTTTTATCGGCCGAACTCTGGTGGCTCAGTCGTAGTCTGAGACGCTCCCTTGCTCACCCCTCCTGTAGGTGACGCTGCTACGGTGGCCTTTGAGGACAAGAAGCTCCTGTGATGCATGAAAATTAGGATTCTCTATCAACATCGAAAATATGAAATAATACAGACTCTTCAACAAATCAAGTTTGTCTCCTCTGAGCTCCAGTAGAAACACCAAAGTGACTTCAGTGAAAGACGACTCACTGATTCTCAAAGTTCTCAAACAGATTAACCCTCAGATTTCCTGCACACGCTCAGACTCTCTCTCTCTCTCTCTCTCTCTCTCTCTGACACCTCGGTGGTGTAGTCGGTGAATAGACGTGATTCAGAGTCACTTACAGTGTCTCTACATTTCAGCAGAGCGGCCCAATTAGTGAGTGTAGTTATGTGACGGTACGAGCATCAGCGCCGATCAATACAATCATTACTCCAATTTCCTCTCTTGTCATTAACACTCGCACTGAAACTTTCTTACGCATTTGCATGGCTTCCTGCAGACACACACGTGCACGCGCACACACACACACACACACGCACACACATATCCTGCAAATGAGAAATCCTGAATTCACTTCACTCGCTTTTTCTCCAGCGAATGGTGCAATCTGAGCCGAGTTCATGAAAGAAGGAACGCAGGGAGAGGCTGGAGAAGTTATGTTTCAACGCTCACTGGTTCCAGTACATGTGCACGCACACACACACACATACAAATATACACACACACACACACACACACTTTTGAAATAATGCTATTCAGGCGGTGACACCTGCATCTTGTGTGATTAAGGCCGAAATGGAAGAAAAGTGCAAAAACTGAGTCAGTTCACGAGTTAATGGACTACTGAACACACACACACACACACACACACACACACACACACACATCAAATCTGGGAAGACACCTGCATCATGCTGATATGAGAGTGTGTGAGCATCACTACACGAACACACACACACACACACACTGTAGCTGCTTATTTTCATCCTTCCTCCCTCTTTTGGTCTCTCCCACCTTTCCTTGCCTCCTCGCCTCCTTCCCTCCCCTCCCCCCTCTCTCCTCTCTGGGCCTACATTGCACACATGCTGACATCAGCAACCAGCAGCGCCCCCTAGACACCCCCCCACCACTACCACCACCAGCACACACACACACACTGTCACACACACTGTCACACACTCACACACACTCTCCGTGAACGGGGACCGTAAATCACGCGGGTCTCTCGCGACTGTGACATGAAATTGCTTACAAACGTGACTGATGCTGATAAACAGCCCCCCCCCCCCACCTTAATTAACTATAAATTACACGTGCATTACCACCACACACACACACATTAACCTGTATGCACGAGCCTTTCCCACTTTTGTTAAAACTGAACCGTCCAATCATGTGTCAGCACCACAGGCCTACCTGATCCCGGTCCTCGTCCCGGTCCCAGTCCTGGTTCCAGGGCCTACCCCTACCCCTCACCTTTGACTCTCTCTCTAACAGCAGCAGGTAAAGGATATGGCCATTCGGTGATCTTTTTGGCGTATTTCCGGATGAAGTTATCCTCACTGAAGATGAAGAGGGAGCGGTTGACCGTGAAGCAGTTCTGGCGCACGGGGATGGGGTTATAGAGGGCCATGGTCCGGGCCCTCTGCGCCATAGACTGCTTGTACATTCTCTGGGCCCCCGGACCTCCGGGTGGACCGTGTCCGTGCCCGTGGCCGTGCCCATGGCCGTGCCCGTGGCCGTGTCCATGAGGTCCTCCTTGCCTACTCCCGCCGCGGCCGCCCGGGCCCCCTCCGCCGGGCCCCCCGCCGTACCTGCCCGGTACCTCATCTCCAAACCGCGCCATTCTCTGGTCACAGAAAACCAATCTTCACGAAGCAGCGGAGAAGGAGACCAATGCTCAGCTGTGCAGCCACACAACATTACATCCCATCCGGATCAGAACGTCTCATAAGCACAAACGGGTTCGTCTCGGAGGTTCTGCTGAAGACCTGCAGACGAGGACGCCCATGAACCGTCTCCTCTCTGCGCGTCTCCAACGGCCAATTGTGGGTGTGAGGAAATTAACTGTGTGGTCGGTTGGCTGACTGGTTACACTGTGGTGGTGCTGAAGGTGGTGGTGGAGGTGGTGGTGGTGGTGGTGCGGGGAGCCTCAGTCTCTCTGGGTTCTCGGTTCCGTAAAAAAAGGAGGTTTTGGAATCATGGGGAGACCGAAGCGGCTTCACATGAAGGTTTCATGTCGTCCACGGTTCATGCCTCCATCCTAACGCACCAGCAGCTTCTGTGATCTCATGACAGCGAGGATTGACAGTCTAAACGCCTCTAATATCACACAGGCCTCAGTAATTAGATTGTCCAAAATCAATGTGAAAATAATTAAGAGCCTTTAGCAGCTACCGCCCTCAGCACCGCCGATCAGCTCCGCATGTTGGAAACGCTCGTTTTTCTCAAGCTTGGAGAGGAATGAGAAAATGAAAAAGCTTCGATTATTTATTTATTTTGGAAACATCCGCAATGTTTGGCACAGTGTGTGGCAATAACGAGGCTCCCGCTACCTTACAGTGATTTCAGCAGCGCGCCCTGACGAGCCTTCGGAGCAGGAAAATGGTGACATTTGTGCTTAAAGCATCTTATTTCAGAGAGAGCGCAGTCTCAAGAAGAAAGGAGGAACGGTACCGTTTTTCTCCCAAACGACGGTGTCATTGTTCTCCGGCGCCGTAGATGATCGTTTTTTCCCCTCAAAAGATCTCATTAGTATCCTCCCTCTCTGCAACCATCATCTCCTCTTCGTCACCTGCGCGGCCATCCAGGAGCTGAGCAGGGGACACACGGACGCCGTCGTCAAAGACACGGGGGTGACGGCCGCTCCTCCGCCGGCTCACTCCCTCTCCTGGTCTCGGTTCGGATGGTCGAGCTGCAGTGGTGCCGAGAAAGTCCCTCACCATCCCCAGCCCGAAACGTCTATCTCAGTCGGCACGGATGAGCCCCGATGTCCTGGCAGAGCGTCCTTCCTCCCTCTCTCTCTCTCTCTCTCTCTCTCTCTCTCTCTCTCTCTCTCTCTCTCTCTCTCTCTCTCTCTCATTGGAGTAGGGTAGCGCGCTCCTCGCAGCCTCCTCTCTCCATCCAGCGGCCCCAAGGGGAGGAGGAGAGGGACGGACGGACGGAGGGACGGAGGGATGAGCTCCTGAATGGATGGAGATAAAAATAAAAGGGAGGGGACCGAGTATTTTTTCTATAGCGTCTGTCTATAACTCATATTGATCGGAGCGCGCGCGCTGAATGGCTGTCTCTGAGTCGGGCTGAAGTGGAATGAGCGGCTGACAGGTTCCGCAGCAGCAGCAGCAGCGGCACCACATGACGCACGCAGCTCGTCCAACTTCCAGACGTTTTTCACGGACGGAGGCTCCGTCTATCGCCTGGTTTTTCAGGTGCCACGGGGCTGCTGCTGCTGAGCGGGACTGGACCTTACCCAGTCAGAACCAGAACCGTTTTACAAACATACATGTTGACACCAGCGAGTGCGCGTGACTCTTATTTCCTTCCACCTTTGAGTGTGCGCGTGTCTAAGTGTGTAAGTGTGCGTGTTTCGGGACCTCGTAAGTATTCCTATTATAGCCAGACGCGTGCGCGCGACTATGTGTGTGTATGTGACGGAGAGGCGGGGTGTTGGCATCATGCAGCATGTGCAAAGATACAGCTGCAACCGAAGCTGACAATGACTGCGCGCAGTGGAGCGCGTGAGAGAATGCGCGTCAAAGTGCGCGCGTGATTGCGTGTGTGTTTGTTAGGGAAGGTGGAGGGGGGGGGAGGCTATTCTTAGCAACAGACATTTGGAAATTAATGGACGAAGAGAGCTCTCTCCTCCCTCCCTCCCTCCCCGAAAGCGAGTCGAGGATCTTCTTCCTCGCTCACTGCACCCTCCTCCCCTCCTTTCCTTTCCTTCCCCTCCCTTCCTCTCCTCCCTCATACCCCCACCTAAACCCAGGTGCCTCTTCACGGTGCGACCATATGTTTTACAGCTCAGGTCTCCGCTGACAGAAGAAGACATGAGAACAGGGAGAACACCATCTTCTCCATGTCTCTGTCTACGGGGTTCGGGACGATCGTGAGAAATCTCCTCGTTAATGCCATGAGTCACTCACGACACTGTAAGGAGCACAAAGACCTGGAGCCACACTCTTAAAGTTCTGAGGGGGGGGGGGGTTCAGGACAACACTCCCTCCATCTATTATCAGAGATAATTGATTGGGTCCAGAAATAGCCGCTTCTTTGAATGGGAAATGATGGTCCAAATGGAGATTTAAGGGGGACCAGAGATCTCACACCTCCACCAGATCTGACATCAGGAGAGAAACCTTAGACTCTCAAAGACCGATCAATAACAGCACGACCTTAAACCGATATCTGATATGTCAGAGAGAGATCGGTTTGCTCTGCGTTCACTAAGGGGGAGGGGGGGGGGGGACTTCCGGCTGTGAGGGGTGAGACTGACCCCACCACAAGGGCACGAGAGAAAAATATGAAATACATAAATGTTTGATTGGATAAATAGATTAGAGATAGATGGATTAGAGATTAAGAGATAGATAGATAGATAGATAGATAGATAGATAGATAGATAGATAGATTCCACTGTTTTGCTGTGATGATGCGGAGTAAAGAAAACTTTAGTAAACCATACTTACAGTGAAGTAAACTGGTCCTGATGGTGATTCAGAACCACGGCCAGCACCCAAACAGAACCATCTCCAGATCAGAACCACGGAGAGCTCAGAACACACAGATCTGACTACTTAGAATCTGACTGAGATTTCTGGAGGATCTGACTTTATGTTCAGACAAAAACACTCAGAAATATAATTAATATGCACAAGACAACATCAGATATTTAACTTGTATTTAGAAAATTTACATCATTATTATTATTGAAGCTTATTCATCCATCTAAACACACCCTACATATCTGTGTTTTATCTTCATCTATACTCTCTATATACAGTATTGTATATCATCATAAATAGAGCGTGAATTTATATATTTATTTATATTTCAGTCTTTTTTTGTATATCAACATTTCCAAGATGAGAGGATGATTATAATGACAGAGTTATTGTGGGTTTGTTATGGATTAAAACAGTGAGTGCAGTTACAGGGAGTGTTTCAGGGTCATGACTCAGGGTCAGGTTTAGTTCCTGGTTTAGGAACTTTGCTGCTTCTTTTAAACTCTAAAAGGGATTCTGATTTAGTTATTCTTTTATGAAAATGTGTTTGTTGTCATGAGATGTTCTGGTCGTTTAGTGTTTCCCTCTGATTTGAGTGTATTTTCTTTGAATTTTCCCTAGTGTTTCTGTTCCCGATTGTTCCTGTTCTCCTGTCGTCTTGTCTCGTGAGTTTTTAGTTTTTAGTGTTTCCTGTTTTATTTTGTAGGAGTTTATTCCCTGTGTTTCTAGTCTTGTTTTACTTCCTCAGTTTCCCCTCCAGAGTAATTGTCCTCACCTGTGATTCTGTCTCACCCGCCTCTCTAACTTCAGTGTCTCCTTGTTGTTTTTTTCCCCCTTGTGATTTTTGGATTTTTGAGTCGGACATTTAGAAGTTTTTGTTGTTTTAGTTCCTTTCTAAATAAATCCGTTTTCCTTCTTCATTTGGGTCCTTCTTTTTTTGTGTTTAACTCCAAACGATGACATTTGTCATATGAAAGTTTCCTCCTGTTGGTCCTGAATAAAGAGACCGACCTTCCTCTCTATCACAGACCAAGTCAGGGATCACAAACGAAGCAGAGACCAAAACTTAGATCAGTGTGTGTGTGTGTGTGTGTGTGTGTGTGTTTACAGTGGTGTGTGATGATCTGTGAAATGATCTCCAGCCCCTCAGAGCTGCAGCCTTCTGTCCAAACCAGTTCTTCTCCTCATGAGAAGCAGAGAGGAGCGTCAAGTCTGAGGCCGAGCATGCATAAAACATGGACACACACACACACACACACACACACACACACACACACACACACACACGTATTTATAGCTGAGGAAAACAATCCGACATGATCGGTCGGCTCAGTTCTCGGGCAGAAACATCCTTCACTTTGACTCGTGTTTTTATCTAAAATCGCACACCTGAACTTTATCTTCAGAGCGACGTTTGAAAAGGAGGAGGAGGTTCGGTCTGTTCGTAGCCCTGACTCTGAGCTCCATCCTCTCAGCTCCTATAGTTCCCCTCAGTGTTCCTTCTATAGAAAAGTCTAAACTGGTGAATAAACCGAACAGGAAGCAGACTGCGAGCACATTTCAGGAATTAGAGTTGAACGTTTTGTTTGGATGCACCAATCTGGGAGAAAGCAGCAACAATGACAAACTCATTTCTAAAATGAAGATAATGACTCAGCCCGACTGGATGGAGAAAGTCATTAAACTTTAAATGGTTTTATTCAAAAAGGGGGGGCGCTTAAAGGAACAATCCCAAACGGACTGAGAAAAACCTCGTCTCCTCGCTCTACGCTGAAGGATGGGGGGTTGGCCCGGGTTTGATGATAAAGATAAATTTGGCTCTAAGTTTACGACCTTCTTAAAAAAAAACGCTCGAGTCCATCTCTGGATTGTTCTCGGCTCTTTGTCTTCCTCTGTCAGATGTTCAAATGGCGAGGAGCTGTGAGGCTGGAGCTCTGAGGCGAGGGCCTAAAAAGGAGTGTCGTGACTCAATGATTCATAAGGCTGAATTATTCAATGGCCGGATGCATGTAGAGCACTCCGCCCCTGCTGAACCCGCTCCTCCACAGACCCACAGCAGCAGATCTGCATGTAAACCTCTGGGAGGCGGACAAACAGCGAACAAAGCGTCCCGCGGTCGACTCGGAGACGTCAGTAAACATTGTGTAGCATAAATGTGCGTCTGTCTTACCTGAACCCGGGTTTGGGAGTCAAAGCAGGTGAGGCTTCAAGTGTGCAGCCCGGCGGAGAAACTGGGTCAGGAGCTGTTTTTAGATGAACTTCTGCATCCTGCTGCAAACCGACGCTGCAACAACAAAAAAAAGAGATTTAGACAAACATGTCAGAGCTGCAGACAATCAATCAATGAGCCCATTAACAAAAATATTAACAAATATTCTAGGATGATTTTCAGACACGGTGAGATTATCATGTTTAAATGCATAAATAAAAAGCTGCAAACAGAGTAAACTCTAACAAGAACAATAAAACATTTAACTCTTATTTTGACGGGACTTGGTTCAACTTTTTATCAGTAAATCTGACACAGACCTGCAGGACGTACAAAAAACACTGAATACCAAAAATACTGAGAAGTTTGATAAATTAACCAAAAACAAAGTCTGTGTGACTCATATCTGATTTTTTCATCTCAGTGTGAACAGGTCAATTCTGATTGGTTCTGATCCGACCCAGGCCTCTTTTCTATGTGGATATCAATCAGATACTGCAGTGTGGATGCTTAGGTCGCCGACCTATACGTCATCAATATGCGACAAACGTCACCATTGTTCGACAACACAAACAGGCGCGGAAAGCAATTTGTGCTTTGTGCGTATGCGGGTCACTTCACGGACGCATTTGTTGTTGTAATGTGAACGATCGTCAACGTCATGAAAATATTTCGTCAACGCCCTTTTTTTTTCTATGACGAAGACGTGACGTCAACGAGCTAAACATGAGTCTTAGATGACTAAAATGTGACGAGACGAATGTGCGTTTACGTTGACGAGACGAGACAAAAACTTTAGTGGTGGACGACAAACAGAGTTGCAAAATTCATGAGCATTTCGTCAAACGCTCAACATTATTCTGCAGTGTTGTTTTTACAATCTAACCGTCATTTATCAGGTTAGTTTGACCAATAATCTGTGGAGTACCCCAAGGCTCTATTCTTGATCCCCTCCTGTTCTCCCTATACCTCCTCCCTCTTGGCTTGATTTAAAAAAAACACAGTATACCTTGTTTTTGAGACAATTTTATCACCCTTACTTTTCTCTTTGCACACTATTGAGTTCCAATTGGATCAGGTGAATTTCAGTCTGTTTAAGTACACAGGTGATATGGCCTTGGTCACCTTACTGAAGAAGGTTCTTCTGAATCTGCTCTGAATGCAAAGATCCGGATAAGTCACATTTTTCATTTTGCTGGTCTCCATTTTGTGCGTTTTGATATTTTCTGTACACGAAACTTCGGTAGTTGTCGCCCTCAGTTCATGTGCTCTGAAATGCACTTTACTCGATAAAAACAGTGTTTTTATTTCAAAGATTTGTCTTTAAAGTTTTTTTTTTAATTTTAATAAGAAATAAATTTGATTGGTTTGAATTTTAAAGGAGTGGGTTGCGACTTCAGTACCGTGGGAAAATGAGGGTCCCAGAGAGAGACCAGTTGAGAACCTCTGCTTTAAAGCTGATCTCACACCGTGACAGACACTCCACCTCTGCTGAGAGGTTTCTCCTGAAGAACCTCTTCAGACTCGGTGGTGTGTGTTACTGCAGACAGGCTGCACACATGTTCATCCAAATCGACCACAGCCAAGTGTTTTTCTGGCTGTTTTCAGTCTAATTGCATGATTCAACAGAAGGCATACGGACGCCCTCAGGACACGCTGACCGATGAGAACGCAGCGAAACGCAGGAGCTTCAAACGAGCGCACCAACTGGGAATTAGACTCTGAACCCACAACACTCATCATGGATGGATGAGTGTGACGCTGCGGGCAGCAACATAGCATCCAACAATGAAATGGGCATCACATCAGCTGTGTGTGTCTGTGATGGAGGAGGGGGGGTGGGTTTTATTGTGGATGCTCACTGACCGAGACCGACAGCCGGCTCACAGAAGGAGCACTAATACTCCTGCACTCATGGACAGGCTGCATATGGAGGAGGATAAAACTGCACCAGTCAGAAAAAAACGACATTTACAGGAGAGTTCAGAAACACTGACTGAACCTTTAAAACCCAGGAGGAAGTGGGCCGACAGAACCGGGTCTGCACAAGTCCGAACTTCTGGATCTCCTCAACACCTCCTTTCGATCTAACAACTGAGACATCACATCAATCTTCATCCCCGAGAGAGAGAGAGAGAGAGAGAGAGAGAGAGAGAGAGAGAGAGAGAGAGAGAGAGCGAGCAAAACATGAGATTAGATTAGATTAGATTGGATTTAATTGTCATTAAACTCGTTCAGAACAATAAATGAAATGCAGTTCAGCGTCTAAGCAGAAGTGCAATAGCACAAGTATCAGATAATATTTACAGCAAAGATAAATATATTATCTGATACTTGGATATATAAATATATATATATATATACATATAAGTAAGAGATGGTATGTCAATATTTACATTAATTACATTTAAGTGCCGTTATCGTGGTTTAACGGGGTGAGAGTTCAAGAGAGTGACTTCATGATCACTGACACAGAGTGAAACATGATGATACTGACTCTATTTATTCATTACTAAACTAACTAAATGGTAAATGACTGTCTGTGGGGGCCAGCTGCTATATTTTTACTTGATTATATATTTTTTTGTTGTGTTTTGTTTTTGCTGTTGTTGGTTTTTTTTTTTTTTTTTAAGTTTGTTCTTTGTAAATTGATTTCTTTATTTGTTTAATTTAAATAAATTGTTTCTTTTTAGTTTTAAATCAATTAAATGAAGAATAAATTAATTAATCATTTATTATTACTATTATTATTGTTGTTGTTGTTATTCTTACCGCTATTGTTGTTGTTTTTGTGTTAGAACGCTTCGGCAGTATTGTTGTGACAAACATGCCAGAGAGAGAGAGAGAGAGAGAGAGAGAGAGAGAGAGAGAGAGAGAGAGTCACTAACCTGTCCTCACTGGTAAATAGGCCACTGTGTTTTTCTGTGGGAATCTCTGACAAGGATGAAGTCATCACTATCTGCTCTCATAACTACCTCTCTCTCTCTCCCCTTCCCTCTCTCTCTCTCTCTCTGACTCTCTCTCCCTCCCTCTAACCCCCCACCCCCCCTCTCTGAAATCGTTTCCTTCTCTGTAGTGAATATTTATTTATATATTTGAGTTTGTTTTTTGTGATTCCTTAAAATAACTGTTCTGAAAGGTTTTGGTGTTTAGAAAAAATAAACTTCTGTGATTATTTTTTTTGTTTGTTTTGTTTTGTTTTTGTAATTTTTTTTGGTGAAATATTGTGATATTGGGACACAGCTGTGGGATATTTGTGATTATGAGAATTTGACGCCCTCTAGTGGACAAAGGGGAGACCTGCAAAATCTGCAATTCTTTCACTTTCCCTTCCTGCTCCAGAATCAGATTAATGAAAACAACTTTAATTGTCAGTAAAAAGCTCCAGAAACAATGTTTTTAAAACATTAAAAAAAAAAATTAAATTGCGATACTCATGTGAATCGATTTTTTCTCCCGCCCCTGATATTTAGATTTGAAACCATAGTTGTTATTAAAAAACTCATTTCAGTGTTTGACTCTAAATTAACCTTCTCTGTGAAAAATTTACATCGTGATTTAAATTTGTTTATTTTACTTTTTTACTTTATTCTCTGACTTTGAAATTTAAACTCACAAATTAACACTCGATTGAATAGAAAATTAAAATACAGTTGTCCACGATGAACCCCCACAGACCGTATACACTCTATTCTATATACACTCTATGAAAACCTCTACTCTGCCTTCAGCACCTAAAGACTACATTTCCCACAATGCACTGCGCGTTCAACATGGCGCCTCCCGCTGCTGTGTGACTCCTGTTAGCGGAACCGTAAACAGCTGAGGCCCAACAGAACCGGGTTTCGGGTCAAGAACTGTCCCGTCAGCTCCGCCGGGATGAAGCTGCTCCTGACGGCCTACACTCGGACCCTCAGACCCGCCCTGAGGACCTCCACACACCGGAGGACCCGGACCGACCTCTTACCTGTCCGCGATCAGGCTCTGATCGTGGGGTCGAACCAGGACCTGGTGCAGAGACTGGGTTCTCAGGTGGAGGTTCGGACCGGCTTCATCAGTGAGGAGGAGGAGGAGGTCTTTCTGCGGGAGCTGGAACCGGGTCTGAAGAAGAAGAGATACGAGTTCGACCACTGGGACGACGTGAGTCCGAGTCCTCCAGAGTCCAGAACTGAGGACTTTGGTAGAAATAAGGACCAGAGCCGGGTCCGATCCTTCACTCTAAACCGAACCTTCATCATGTTTGGGAAAAATATGAAACTTTAACTTGTTTAAAAAGAGGCTAAAATAAGAATCTTAAGTTTATCAAAGAGAAATGGACTTTATTTATTTTCTCTCACCTGATTGGACGAACTGAAGAGTCCAGGTGTGACTGATCCTTTTCTGGTCCGAGTTTGATCAGTCGGTCTTCCTGTCGGCGTGAAGAGCAGTAGCCTACAGTATATCTACAGTCTGTAGTATTCTGTGGATATCTACAGTATATATATATATATATATATATATATATATATATATATATATATATATATATGTATATATTAAAACTTCATAAAATTTTTTTTAAATTGGCCGATTAATCGGTTATCGGGTTTTCCCCCTCTTATAATCGGTATCGGCATCGACCCCAAAAAATCCAAATCATATATTCTACATGATCATAAAGCTTCAGTTTAATTTCAGTCTCTGTCAGACACATGAAAAAACCTTTTATATGAACTTTAGAGGACTTTTGAAAACTCTGTTACAGTTTTGTGAAACCTTTATTCAGAGTGTGAAAATGCACTAAAGAGCGATTTGATATGACGGAGTATAACGTGGTGCTGATGTGACAAAAGATGAAGTATCTCCTTGTTTGAGAAAATTATATTAAAGTCGATTTTCATGAAATGCTCCATTTTAACAACTGTCATCTTAAACATCCCGAAGTCTTCATTTTTTTCTTAATGTCGCCCTAATACTCTGTCGTAGTTTGAAGAAAGTTCATGCTAAAAAAAAACTAAATAAGAAAATACATTTACTCACTCATAAATAAGAAAATAATTCACTCACTCGTACCCGACCAAGACATAAAAACTCTAACTTACCTTCATATGAACATCAAAAGTTCGTATGAAGGTAAATGTCGAAGCAGAAGTGCGTCGCTGTACTTCACGCTCACCTGCGGTTTCCTCTTCCTCACATTAGGCCATCCACGGGTACAGAGAGACGGAGAGAGTGAGTTGGGGGTCGGCGTGTGAGGAGGTCCTGAACCGTGTCCGCTCTGTGGCGTTTTCTGAAGGTAGTCAGCTCCTCGGGCCGGTCCACGTTCTGGACCTGGACAGGAGCGGTTACATCAAGCCGCACATCGACAGCGTGAAGGTAGGATTGTTGTTTTCCTCGTAGAGCTTCATCATCAGGAGGTCGTCTCTCTGAGTGACCTTTGACCCGCCGTCACCTCGTCTGGCCTTCTCTTATCTTCTAGTTTTGCGGCAGCACCATCGCTGGACTGAGTCTGCTGTCTGACAGCATCATGCGTCTGGTGAAGGAGGACTCCAGCGGTGAATGGTTGGACCTTCTGCTGCCCCGACGCTCCCTCTACATCCTGAGGTATGAACACAGACACCAGGTTTCTCCTCTGACAGACCTTCAGAGGTGTGTCGTCATCCATCAGCTGATGATCCTGAAGTCAGAGTTCTGTCCTGACGTCTTCATTCTCCTCCTTCCACACAGGGACCAGGCCAGATATCACTTCACTCACGAGATCCTGAAGGATGAAGAGTCGGTGTTTAACGGACAGAAGGTCTCCAGGGGGCGCCGCATCTCCGTCATCTGCAGAAACCTCCCGGGTTAACTCCGACCCGGACTCAGACTCAGAACAAAAACTACGTTTGAGGGATTCTGTCTGGACTATAATGTTGTTTGGTTATAAACTGGATTAAATAAAAGTCTCTGACACTCATTATTGTATCAGAGATTATAATCTGGACTGTATAATCCCGTGGTTTGATCACACCTGAAATCTCCACTCTGGATTAACTGCAGGTTTCTACACATTTTAGTCTTCTAATCTGCCTGACGTGGTTTATTATTATCATATTTCTGTACAATAAAGAATATTTATGAATAATTTACAAAATAAAAGCTTATATATGTTTCAACACTTTCAGAATAAAGTTCATCTACAGTCCAGAAGATCTCATAGTCAGCTGCAAACATGATTTAACCTTCAAAAACTCCTAACAAAGGTTCCTCAGCTGTTTTTTATAGTATTAGACGTCCTTAATGACAAACTCGGGGAGACACTCCAGGTAAATTTTTAACTAACAGATATCACCATGAAACTTCCCGAGTTTATAACTTACATTAAGACAAATATTTTTTATATTACAAGTTTAGTCAAATGTTATGTTTGAATATGTAAATGAGGTCATATCTGTAGGAGTGGTGATAAAAGCATGAATTAGCGTCTCTGTGTTGACCCGAGTAAATGATCATTACTCCTTTGTATTCATTCTAAACCAGGAATACTGACGCCTGATACATGTTTTGACCATGTAATATTCTAATTAGCATATTTGTATGATAGATAAGTGACTACAAGTACAACTAGTGCCTAACGGACAGTGGCACATAGAGATATTTGAATTTTTAGGGGTGGTGAGAGTATTTTCTCATATACAGATTGATAAATAGAGATATCCAAAGTCCCCTCCTCCCCCCTTCTGACTCTAGTATGTCAACAAAATAAAACAAGAATTTTAAAGGGTCTTTATCTATTGTTCAGTTTTCAGTTCTGTAAACGTACGTAAATTAGTTCATATTTAATCAGATATGACCTCATTTACATATTCAAACATAACATTTGACTGAACTTGTAATATAAAAAATATTTGTCTTAGTGTAACTTATAAACTCGGGAAGTTTCATAGTGATATCTGTTTGTTAAAAATTTTACCCTATTTACCTGGGGGGTCTCCTACCATCATGGACGCCATCTTGAAAATGACGCCTTTCTAGTGTCAAACTTTGGTCAACTTTGAGTTTGTTATCAAGGACATCTAATACTATAAAAAAAACAGCTGAGAAAACTTTGTTAGATTTTTTTAGGGTTAGGTGTTTTTTTCATAAATGCAACAGACAGGACTGTGGAGTGGAAATCACCACATGGAAAGAATTAGAAATCATAGATGCTGCATCCTCAGATTTAAAGATTAGAAGGTATCAGGTTGGAGTGGGTATGGTTTGTAGATTGTAGGTTTGAGTTACAACCAGCAGACGGCGGCAGATAACCTCCTTCATGAATGAAAAGGCGGAGACATGGGTGGAGTCCCCTCAACCTGAACCTGTAACTCTAGGTAGGAGTTCCTGTCAGACTGGACCAACCTCAGGTACAAGAGCGTCCTCCTCCTCCTCCTCCTCCTCCTACAGAAGAGTCTTCTCTCACTTCAGCTCCCCAGCGCCAAGAAGGTAAGAAGAAGTTTCTAAGAAATGTTGGAGAGACTTTTAAACTGGATGATGATTTTATCAACAGTGACAGGGTGAATAGAAATGCTCTGACTGTGATTCTGCTCTTCAGCTTTCTTACTGCAAACAGACGCTCAGAAACAGCAGCTGGAGACAAAGATGGCAGCGGCGCCCATGCGTGTTTTGGTGACCGGTGGATCTGGACTGGTGGGGAAAGCCATCGAGCATGTGGTTCTGCAGGAAGGGGGGAAACTGGAGGGAGAGGAGTGGATTTTCCTGTCCTCCAAGGACGCAGATCTGACGTAAGTTTCTTTAAGTCAAAGATAGAAATACTGTCTGATAGATGTCACACTGCAAAGAGAGTCTGAACACGACTCAAGGATGACAGTCTCTGATTTAGAGTTCAGTCTGAGGTATCAGAGACTTTTAGTCCCAGGAACTTGTCCTCTGTGTCTCTGCAGGGCCTGAGGGACTTTGTGTCTCCATTGTAAATAAGTGTAAAAAAGTCAAACCTGCTTCACAGGTTCACTGAGATTACAGACACAACGTTTATTTACTGAAACTGTTATTAACTAAATGAATCCAATCTCATCATCCGGTTTCTCTATGCCCTCAGATTAACTCTGAGTTTAAAGGGATATTCCAGCTAATTAAGGGTCAAACACACCGTAACACCGAGTTAGACCCCCCCTCCAGAGATGAATGTTGTCGACCGCTTGCTTCTCTAGTTATACCAACTTTAGTAACGACCGCAGGACAGAAATACAGAGAGGTCTGAGGAGCCATAAACAAACCTCAACCAAAACGCCACTCTATAGCCACAAATAATGCTCAGAACAGCACCTAACTGAGACCTGAGACCTCAGGCCAGTCCATTACGGACTACAGCGGGGTGCCGCAGCTCAAGGAAGAACATTTATGATCATTTCTTTATCATTTCCTTGAAGTAATAATCATTATATTGATCATTTTCCTCTGCAGACGCGGTAGTTCTTCTGTCTTAGCGTCTCGGTCTGATTATATTCTTTCCTTTTCTTTCCTTTTGAACAATAAATCATTTTTTACCACTCAAACCGGACTGATCATTCAAGCTAGTCACGGATGCAAGCGAACCTAAACTCTAGCGGCCTTTTTGTAGAAGGAAAGCAGACACTGAAATTCTCATAAATGTTCTTCCTTGAGCTGCGAAACCCCGCTGTAGTCCATATTGGACTAGCCTGAGGTCTCCCTACCTCACTCCCTAAGTTAAAAAGATGTTTGGTGTCTAGTACTATGGCTGTGACCCTATATGTACTAACCTCAGTAGAACAAGGTGTAGTTCCGTTCAGTAACAGAACCTCATTGGAAAATTAGCTGATTTAACTTTACTGTGCTCTTGTTCAAATATATTAACTCGACAGCACATATATTCATACCTGTTAACAAAATCATGATTTTATTGATAATTCGGCTCAATAAAAACACCTTTACCTTTTCATTTTACTACAGTAGAAGTTTATTGGCCCAGCTTATAGACTACAGAAGTGAAGAAACGACCCCGCTTAAGTTTGTTTTTTTAGGAGTTAGAACAACTCTGAATATAGTACTATGTCTGTGACCCTATATGTCCTGTTGATGAAGTTAGGTGCTGTTCTGAGCATTATTTGTGGCTATAGAGTGGCGTTTTGGTTGAGTGTATGAATGTAAAGTTCCTGAGGAGAACCTTATACTCTGGACTTCAGAGAACACCTCCAGGTCCTTTAAACATCATAAAAACTTCCGACCCCGAACAGAAACCTGGAGCAGACCAAAGCTGCGTTTGAGAAGCATCGCCCCACGCACGTCATCCACCTGGCCGCCAAAGTGGGAGGACTTTATCTGCACATGAGGGAGAACCTGCACTTCCTGGTGAGATCATGGTTCTGTTCAGGATCTGTACTGAGGACCAGGTGAGTCAAAAACTGCTGAGGTAACAGTCCAACATCTCCACAGAGAGACAACCTCAAGATCAACGACAACGTCCTGCAGACCGCTCATGAGATGGGGGTCACCAAGGTGGTCTCCTGCCTGTCCAGCTGTATTTTCCCAGATAAGACCACCTACCCCATCGACGAGACCATGGTGAGTTTCTGTGTGTGTGACACCTGTCCACCTGTGAACTCCTGATGACCCAAACATCTGCTCCTGTTCTGACCCGAGTCTCTCTGCGGTCCACAGATCCATGACGGTTTACCTCACGACTCCAACTTCGGTTACTCTCACGCTAAAAGGATGATCGACGTCCAGAACAGGTGAGCAGCTGAGCAAACAAAGGCGTGGAGCAGAGAGAGCAGAGGGATCTGTCTCTGTCATCCCAGATAAGACCACCTGGCGACCCCATCGACGAGACCATGGTGAGTTTCTGTGTGTGTGACACCTGTCCACCTGTGACACTCCTGATGACCCAAACATCTGTGTGTGTGCATGTATGTGTGTGGGCGTGTCCACAGGGCGTACTTCCAGCAGTACGGCCATCACTACACCGCCGTCATCCCCACAAACGTGTTCGGCCCCCACGACAACTTCAACATCGAGAACGGACACGTGTTGTCGGCGTTGATGAACAAGACGTACAGAGCAAAAAGTGACTAACACACACACAAACACACACAAACACACACACACACACACACACAGAGCAGATAACATGAAGAGTGTTTTACTTCCAGAGGACGGGACCCCTCTGACGGTGTGTGGCTCCGGGGCCCCGAGGAGACAGTTTATTTACTCTCTGGTGAGCGAAAGTTCAGACTCTCGATCATCTCTGAACGTTTCTGAAGAGACTCAGTTTGTAAAAATCCTCTCTCTCTCTTTTTCTCTCTCTCTCTTCCTCTCCCTCCCTCTCTCTGTCTCTCTCTCTCTCTCCCTCTCTCTCTCTCTCTTCCTCTCTGTCTCCCTCTCCCTCTCCCTCCCTCTCTCTGTCTCTCTGTCTCTCTCTCTCTCTCTCTCTCTCTGTCTCTCTCTCTCTCTCCCTCTCTCTCTCTGTCTCTCCCTCTGTCTCTCTCTCTCCCTCTGTCTCTCTCTCTCTCTCTTCCTCTCTGTCTCCCTCTCCCTCTCCCTCCCTCTCTCTGTCTCTCTGTCTCCCTCTCTCTCTCTCCCTCTCTCTCTCTCTCTCTCCCTCCTTCTCTCTCTCTCTCTCTCTCTCTCCCTCTCTGTCTGTCCCTCTCTCCCTCTCTCTCTCCTTCTCCCCCTCTCTCTCTCTCTCTCCCTCTCTCTCTCTCTCTCTCTCTCTCTCTCTCTCCCTCTCTCTCCCTCTGTCTCTCTCTCTCTCTCTCTCTCTCTCTCTCTCCTCTCTGTCTCCCTCTCCCTCTCCCTCCCTCTCTCTGTCTCTCTGTCTCCCTCTCTCTCTCTCTCTCTCTCTCTCTCTCTCTCTCTCTCTCTCTCTCTCTCTCTCTCTCTCTCTCTCTCTCTCTCTCTCTCTCTCTCTCTCTCTCTCTCTCTCTCTCTCTCTCTCTCTCTCTCTCTCTCTCTCTCTCTCTCTCTCTCTCTCAGGATCTAGGCCGTCTGATCGTTTGGGTTTTGAGAGAATATGAAGAGATCAGTCCTGTTATCCTCACAGGTGAGTGTCCGCCCTCTTTTCACCTGTAGGGGTCAGCAGAGAGCGCTCGGTTTGTTCCTAAACTGATGATTTCTCCTCAGTTGGCAAAGACGACGAGGTCTCCATTAAAGACGCCGTGGACATGATCGCAGCAGCTCTGGACTTTGGCGGAGAAATTCAAGTATCCTTCACAGATTTCTGATCTTTGAGACGCTGCAGGTTCGAGAAGGTTCAGGTTCTCAGATCTACTGCAGTCCGTGTTTTTGACCACGAACCACGGTTTCCTCTTAACTAATGAACGGCGGTGTGAGTGTTGTCTCTCCTTAACCTCTGACCTCAGTATGACACCTCCATGTCTGACGGCCAGATGAAGAAGACCGCCAGTAACGCCAAGCTGAGACGTTACCGCCCTGACTTCACCTTCACGCCGCTGAAAGAAGGTCAGAGGTCACTCTCTCCTCCATGTTCATACTTACTGAACTCTGACTCTCCCTCAGAGAGACGCAGGACTTTAGATCATTTTAAAAATAATCGATCAGGTTAATTTACAGTTTTTAATAATCAGTCGGACTCTGAGGTCTGGAGGGTTCGGTCTGAGTGCGGCGCTCCCTCAGGATCAGCTGATTTGAATGAGCGTTTGCATACATCCTCATCCTGATTTGACTCTCTCCTTTGTCCTCTCTCGGGTCAACGTGGAGACGCTGACTCATGCTTCTATCACCTCTCCTACAGACTACTGTAACGCCCTGTTTTCTGGTCTTCTTAAAAAGAAGATTTTACAAAACTCAGCGGCACGTGTCCTGACTAAGACCAGGAGGCGGGCCCACATTACAGCGGTTTTAGAATCACTGCGTTGGCTCCCCGTGTTTTAGGATCCACTTTAAGCTTCTTTTACTTGTTTTTAAATGTCTTAATGATCCTTGGCTTCTTATCTTTACCTTACGAACCTCACGGACCCTCCGCTCCTCTGGCAGCGTCTCCTCGTCGTTCCTAAAGTCAGGACGCACTCATGGCGAGGCGTCTTTTCAATATTACGGCCCTCGTCTGTCGGAGAACCTCAGGGCCACAGAAAAAGTTTTTAAGAGCGGGCTCCAGACCCTCCTTTTTAGTTTTTAATTAATATTTATCTGTTTTATCTTCATTTATTCTAGTTTTCTTTGGTTTATTTTATATTTATCAGTATTTATTGTCACAAAGATGGTCGGTGTTTTATTCATATTTTAGTTTTTAGTCGTTTTTATTCTTTGATCATTTTTAGGAAGAGTTTTTCTGTTTTTGTTTTTAACTGTAAATCACTCTGAGTTTTATTCCTCGTAGGAAAATCGCTTTATAAATAAAGTTTGATTGATTGATTTTTTTCCTCTCTCCTCCCAGCTGTCAAGATGACCTGTGATTGGTTTACAGCCAACTATGACATCGCTCGCACATGAAGAGACCGAACCCTGAGCTGAAAGTTTTGATTCTGTTTGTTTCTAATCAGGTGGTTTTTATTGATCTTTAGTCTGTTATTGATCGATCTCTTTAATCTGTTATTGATCGATCTCTTTAATCTGTTATTGATCCTCTGTGGATTAAACCTCTTTTACTCCATCCTGTCGCGTCTCTTCGTTCTTAAACACGTTTCAGACTTTCACAAACTTTCACAGAACAGAAACGGGGCGCTGCTCCGGGTTTGACTTTTTATTGGAAATGATTCTACCTAAAAAAAAAGAAGTTTTATTTTGAAACTAAAATCTACTTACAGCTCAAACCGACTCTCGACGGCGTTTATCAGCTCTCAGAAAAACAAACTCATGATTCA